GAACTCGGGTCCTCCTGACTTTGAGGCCAGAGCTCTATCCACTGCACCACCTAGCTGGCCCCCTGACACTACTTTTACAGGACCTTGCCACACTTTTATAGTCATCCTCATTTATCTGGCCTTCCTCTCACCTTTTATACATTTCTTTTTAAAACATGAGTTGGTTGATGTTACCTGTATATCTACATTAGTCTTTTGCAACAAAATCCATTTCCCCCCCTTTGTTGGAATTATTTCCCTTTGGGTCTTCAGGATTTCAGTCTTCAGCATCTCCCACCCCTTGTGGGTTGGCTTCCCCTGAAGCATTTTACTTTATGAGATCCTAACAATTTTTCCTCTGAACTCTTTGAAATTTGCTTTTCTAAAATCTAGGGTATATGTCAGACTATGCCCAGATTTCCTCTCCTCTACCACAAAGTCTAGGATGGAGTGGTCATTTCCATCATTCCAAACCAGCAACCAGTTCTTCCTTTTTAGAATCAGATCCAGAATATGACTTTCTCTTATTAATTCCTTTACCTTCTGATGGATTAAATTATCACCAGGTACTTAGCCTACTAGTTATTCCATTTACCTTTTCTCACTTGCCTTGTCTTGCCAACTACCTTCTCTTTGCCCTTTTTGAGTCTACCTCTTCAGATTGTATTTTCTAAAGCTTCTTGATCCTCCTTAATTATTCCATATCCTCCTTAATTGTCCTTGATTTTGCTTTCCTGAAAACCTGCAGGTTTTAGAATCTAGGCCAGTAACTGGCCCTGAAGACTGTTCTTCAATTTCCCTTAATTTCTCTCCCCCTTCCCCAAATTCAACCTCTTAACCTAGCTATTCCAAGCACCTGTAAGTCATCTACATGATTTTCTTCTATTTCCAATTTAGTCAAAGTCCTTTCTTCTTCTCTCACTCCTCCTTCCATATCTTACTCTTGTGGAAGTTGGAAGTGGAATGTTTTTGTGTTTGGGGTATGATTTTGTTATGTGTACGTACGTACATATCTCATCTCTGGTTCTGTATGTCTTTGTGTATGACAATATAAGCATGCATCTCTGGTTCTCTGTGTTTCTCCATGGCATCACCTTCCTGATACCATGGTCCTCTTTGAGAACAAAGGACAAACGACAATAATATAAACACCTAGGTAAACACGTCTCTGGCTCAGTGTGTGTCATTACCGGTATATGCACAAACATCTGTGATCTTTTATGTGTTTTTGTGGGTGTATGTAGACATCTTCTATTCTGTGTGTGCATATAATCACATATGTGTACTTAGACATTTTTCTCTTTCTCCCCTGGTGGTTCTCAGTGCTCTAAGAGCTGTGATTCAGGCATCCGGAAACGGCAAGTCATTTGTGCTGACAGGGAATCCAATGTCTATAACTCCAACCTCTGCCAGGCTCGCCAGCCCCAGATGCCAGAGGAAGTGGAAGCTTGTAACACACAGTCCTGCCACCTGCCTCAAGGTAAAGAATAGGGAGGGGGAAAAGGAGGAGCAGAGAGGGGCATCAGTTGAGGGCTGAGGACTTTTCTGGGCCAGTGGTTTCCTCTGAGGACTGGGAGCTGCCTCTTCTACCAACACCAGTGGAGGGCATGGAAAGACTAGACTGAAGGGACATTGAAAGGGAGAGGAAGCAGGTAAAAAAAAAGTCTTGTTTTCCCCTTTATGTTTTATTGTTTCCATCTTTATTTTTTAACCACTTAATAAGCCAACACCTGATTCTGTGCCCAGCAATATGTTAAATATTATAGAAGAAGTACAGCTTAATGGTCCTTGTCCTCAAGGAGCTTATAGTCTAGTTAAAAAAAAACTCAAATAATACAAGAGGCTATATAATCATAGCCTGCTTTTCACCATTCTCGGGAGCAGAGGTGTCAAACACGAAGCTCACACAACTTCCAAGTATGGCGGGAACCAGATTAAAATATAATTGGGAAATGTTTAACAAAATAAATAAAAATGCAAAAAACATAGGTAATATCACATTTTAAAATTAAGTCGATGCTGCCTGTAGGTATCCTTTTGTTCAGGTTAGTACTCCCCCCCATTTCTATTTGAGTTTGATACCACTGGTCTGTAGTAATCAGATTACTGGGTTCAGCTGGGAATTCTTGGAATAAAGGTACTTCATCCAGTTCATGCCTCCAGTCTAGAGCAACTAGGGGCCTCTAAAATGAAATGAGATTGTTTAGTGGGTAGAGCACTGGACTTGGAACCAGAAAGGCCTGGGTTTGAAACCCTGCCCCCCCCCCATCCCTCACCATGTAATCCTGGGCAAATAATTTTCCTCCTCAGTAGAATTAGAAAGGTTGAACCTCCTTCCAGTTCTAAATCTATGATCCTATGATCCATTTGCAACACGCTAGGAGAGCTTTCAAAAATAAATTACCTTTTTTTTTTTTGCTTTTTGGTGAGGCAGCTGGGGTTAAGTGACTTGCCCAGGGTCACACAGCTAGTAAGTGTCATGTTTCTGAGGCCGGATTTGAACTCAGGTCCTCCTGACTCCAAGGCTGGAGCTCTATCTACCACACCACCTGGCTGCCCCATAAAATAAATTACTTTTAAAGGTAAAATATTTAATCAGAGTTAAAATAATTAGCACACACACACACACACACACACACACACACACACAGAAACGATTCAGCTCTGCTCTCCAAACCAATGGTAGGGAAAGTCATGAAACACAATCATTGGAAGATTTGGGCTGTGAGCAAGAAAAATTGTCCCTTGTGAAGCCAGACAAGCATATAAGATTCAGCTGTGTAACCTTTCTTGTTCCATTCTCCCCTATGACCATCTGTCAGCCCAGTCTGAGTAGATCATCCATGTTCCTCTCCTTCCTCAGTTTATTTTTGGCCACTAGCAGGAAGGCTTTATGGACAACTGCTTGGTCCTTCCCTATACTGAGAGGTGGCCGTGAACTTGTACAAAGCTCCTTTCCCACAATGCTCTTACTCCACAAATAGAATCCATCTCTCTCAATGCAATGTTCTTTCCTCCAGGCACACAGTCTCCCTACAAAAATAATGACTTGGATGCTTCTCCTAACTAGCAATCAGAGCCTGGGTGGACTCAGGCCTTTAAGGGATAAGGTTGGATGGACCTCTCCTTGTTATATAATTAAGATTTACATTTTGGTGCTTCAGATTCTCAATACTGTAGAAATTCAAACACTGGGGTGGCAAAGGAAGGTTTTATGGAGAAGATGAGAATAGAATTGGGCCTTGAAGGATGGATAAGATCATTCCATTTCCCAGCTTGTCCTCTCTCCTTTCCTGAATAAGGAGAGGGAAGGTCACAACATGAGTGAGGACACAGATTCAGGAATGAGCTTTGTGCTTGTGGAGTGAGGAGAAAGCAGTCTGACTGTAGTGGAAGCGGCCTTGCTGTGTTGGGGAGTGGCAAGATGAGACAGTTTGAGAAAAAAGATTCCGGCAGTACACAGAATGAATTGTAGAGGGGAGAGAAAGGATGCAGGGGAGCCAATCAGTTAGGAGGTGATCATAATAGCTTAGGTAGGAGGAGATGAGGCCTTGACCTAGCAGGCAGAGTCACGAAAGCCTGGACAAGGGTAGTGTTTTCATTTCTTGATATGTCAAAAGCAGTGTTGATCATTATCACTCATGGGGCATCTCCCCTCACGGCCCCATCTCAGAGCCTACAAAAGGGACCACTTCTCAGTCTGCTCCAAGGAGGTTCTCTCTCTGGTCCCAGGGTCCTCAAGTAGAAAGGGTGAAAGAGAGTAGGTAAAGGTTTAAGGAAGGCTGTTTATTTCTCTATTTTGAGGAAACTGTCACCTTTCAGAGTTTTCATGCCCTGTCATTTGCTAAATTGAATAAAAAATTAGATTAAAACTAAGACATAATACCTATTGCTTTGACGCTTCTGGTTTAAAGCCACAGTTGGAAAAATTTCACTCTGAACCAAGGCATGTTGTAGGGCACAGTGTCAAACACAGGTGGGCAGCCCAGATTAAAAGGTAATTGGGGAATATTTAACAAAATTTAGATGAATATACAAGACAACATAGATAATGTCAATATGTGGTTTTCTAAGTCAGCATATAGCCTGCATGCATCCATATGTAGGCCACCTACCCCACTTTCTATTTGAATTTGACATCATTGTTGTAGATCATGTAGAAATAGAGGCTAAAAATGTTTCCACATTTTCCTTTCACTTCTGAGTTGCTGTTTTTTAATGTTGCCTGAAGCAGATGGTAGTGAAGAGAGGCAAAGCCTTCCTTCCATGACCCCGCTCCCCCCAGGTAGGGTAGCTTCCCGTCTAACTGGGAAGGCCCAATTGGTGATTTCCTGAGATTTATCCTTTGCTCTCCCACTTTGCTCCTCCATCCTTTTCTGTGTCATTCTGCAGAGGTCCCTAGCATGCAGGATGACACCAGTCGCCAGGACCCGTTGGCCTACTTGGACCCTCTGGAAAATCCTTCCCAAGGTTTGCCCCTCAAACTTTCCTTCTCTTCTGCCCCTTGCTTCCCTAAAGTTGGGGGGAAGGGTGAGGTAGGTAGGATGACAAGACTGTGCTGGCTCTGGATGACAGCTATCCCCATAAAGAGGTTTGGGCAGCAGAATATCTACCCTGGGGCTGGGACAAGCTGCTTGAGAGTATCTAGCATCCGGCAGGGTGAGTCAGAGGGGAGGCGAGGTGGGAGGATGTGATGAGCTGTAAGCATTAGGGTCTATTTCCTCTGCTCTCTAGGTACCAGGGAGGAATGGCGGATACACAGGAACCAGCCCACATCTGGACATACCCCTGAGGGAGACAGGGGCTCTAACCTGTTGCCTCAACACTGGGAGTCCGGCTGGAGTATCTCCAGATCTCAGCAGCACCGCCACCAGGAAGACCCCGTTGTGAGGTCACAGTCTCATGACTGCAGCCGCAGTCTCCACGGGTGCTGCCCAGATGGCTATACGGTGGCGCTTGGCCCCTCAGGGCATGGCTGTCCCAGGATCTCGTGTCAGCAGAACAGGTAAGTGATAGAGGTGGCCATTACCTCCCCACCAGATAGAGAGAGGATGCTCAGGGAATTCTGATTAGCTCAGGTACAACGTAATGTGGGGACGGTATGTTCAGTGGAAAGAAAACTTGGCTGAGAATAAAGATCTGGGCTCTAATCTCTGTCCTACCATTAACGGCAACTTCCCCTTTCTTGAGTTTCAGCTTGTTGTGTAACGTGAAGAGAATGATACCTCCTCTGCCTGCCTCGGGGTTTTTTTGTTGTCACAGTGACTTGAGATAATAGATTGCACTGTCAAGGAATCAGAAAGCAGTTATTCAGTCAGTGTTGTTTTTTGTCCGTCATTCCTGAAGAGGACCACAGCATCAGGAAGGTGATGCCTTGACTTGCAAGTGAATTGGATCTAAGTGAGGGAAGGCTGTGTAAAATCACCAGCCTCACTTTCTTCTCCGGAGCCATCTGGGTCCAGTAGCCAGATATGGATCAGGAAGACAGGAGATGGCCCCAGAAGTCAGTCAGTAAGGGGCAGTTACGTGGTGCAGTGGATAGAGCACCGGCCCTGGATTCAAGAGGACCTGAGTTCAAATGTGGCCTCAGACACATAACACTCACTAGCTATGCGACCCTGGGCAAGTCACTTAAACTCATTGCCTAACCAAAAAAAAAAGTCAGTCAATAACAATTAGATTAAGGACCTACTATGTGTCAGACTCTGTGCTAAGTGCTGGGGATACAAAGGAAGGCAAAGGGCAGTCTCTGCTCTCAAGAAGCCCTCAATCTAATGGGGAGACAACATACAGACAATTATGTACAAACAAGCTTTATGATAAATAAGTTGGAAATAATCAACAGAGGGAAGGCACTAGAATTAAGGGGGAATAGAAAAGACAAATTTCTGAGGTCCTTAACTCCATGGGACAGGAGAGACAATATGGTGTCAAGAAAGGAGCCAGAGGACCTGGGTTTGAATCCCAGCTCTGTCACTGACTAGTTGTGTGACCATGGGCAAGTTACTTTTCTTCATTAGGCCTCAGTTTCTTCATCTGTAAAATGAAAGGGGGGTGGGACTCCATGGCCTCCAATATACTTTCCAGCTCCAGATCTCTCTGTCTCTATTTCTCTTGGAGGCAATCGGGATTAAGTGACTTCCCCAGGGTCACATAGCTAGAAAACGTCAGGTGTCCCAAGTCAGATTTGAACTCACGTCCTCCTGATTCCAGGGCTGGTAGTCTATCCACTGGGCCACCTAGCTGCCCTCTAGCTCCAAATCTCTCACGCCAACTCCTTGGCTGCCACAAGGATACCTAATAACCTTTCTTCCTTTATAATCCTACTCACACCAGTCAAGTAGAGAGGGTACAAAAAAAAATCCATGAGCTCCCATATTTTCTCCTATACTCATTAAAAATCATGGTGGTCATTGTTCTCAAGGAGAAGGAGTTGTGTAGGACTGGGGCTTCATGAGAATTCATAGATCAGAGATAGGATTTAGAGCTGGAAGGAACCTTTGCGCATATCTAGTCCAGTGCCCCCATTTTACAGATGAGGAAACTGAGGCCTTGTAGGAGAAACTAGGTAGGAGAGCTTAGATTCAAACCCAAATCCTTTGGTGCCAAATCCTCAGAACTCTATCCACTGTACTTTCCAAGAGCCTAGTTGCTCATAAGTACAGCCCAATTCATGATGGTTTTTATACCATGCCCTGACCATAAGCACTCTGAGTTTCGGGATAATTGTGGGAGCTGAATAATAGTAATTAATAGCTTGCATTCACATAGTAAGTTTAGTTCTGTGAAGTGCTTTACAAATATTATCTCATTTGATCCTCACAGCAACCCTGGCAGTTGGGTGCTGTTATTATTATTCCCACTTTACAGATAAGGAAACTGAGGCAGGCAGAGGTGAAGTGACTTGTCCACAGTCACATAGCTAGTAAATGTCAGAGATGGGATTTGAACTCGGGTCTTTCTCACCCCAAGTCTAGTGCTCTCTGCCCTGGGCCATCTAGCTGCCTGGTAAATGTTTGGCACGTTTTTCACAAGGCTCATGTAAAATAAATGGCATGTACAATGTGATAGAGATGGAGAGAGAATGACCGCTTTTATTCTTTAAGGGGGATTCCCTGAAAGGGGTGCTGTATTAATAAGTAGATCCTTCTTTACCTCTTTGCTACAAAAAGGCTTCTTAAGCTTCTACTACTAAGAGGCCACAGTGCGGTAAAGTGGATAGAGATGTTCAGGACGTCCTGGGTTCAAATTCTACTTCCGATACTAACTGTGTGACTTTGGGCAAGTCGTTTATAAGGTCTCTTGGCCCATAGACCCCCCCAGGACCTGAACTCCTTGGTCCGTCCTGAGTTGCCTGGCCCCTCTAGCTCAGCAGAAAGGAGGAAAGCGGAAGCAGGGGGAGGGAGAAGCGGAGGGAATGGTCTGGCAGGGAGAAGACAGGACTCAATGAGAGCTCTCTACAGGTATGGATGCTGCCCTGATGGAGTCTCGTCAGCCCTGGGCCCGAACCTCGCAGGCTGCCCACTGTCCTCCGGGAGCAGACATGGGCCCAGAGCAGCCTCCTCTACGGTAAGCGGCTTGATCCCCTGACTGAGAGGAGGGATCCCGCTGTTCATTTGGAATCAGCTCAGGTGGCTAGGATGCAGAATTCCCTTCCTGCATCTGCTCCCGTTTTCCTGAGCATCCTTTGGGACTCTCTACATCCCTGCCTCTCCCCACCATTCATCCCCGCTACCAAGACTTGGGATGGGCCAGGAGTTTGGGTGTACCTGGGAAGGGGCAGTGGGTGGGTGGGTGAAGTCTCCTACTGCTGTTCTGACTGTCTTCGCCAGGGTGAGGGTGGCTCAGAGACCCTTTCTTCCATCCCACCCTTCTCCCACTAATGAGTTCTAAAAACCCCCTGGGACACTCCATGTGGTAGAGCTTGGCAGACGGGTGTGCGTGCCCCTTCGCTCTGTGTCCTCTGACATCACCTCTTCCTTCTACACAGGCTGGGCAAACTGAGCCTCAGCCAAATCCCTCTGTGGAGTGCCGAAGATCCCAGTATGGCTGCTGCTATGACAACGTGGCTTCCAGCGCAGGCCCCCAGGGAGAAGGGTGCAAAGGCAGGCCCAACTATCGTAAGTGGCCCCGTCCTCTAGGCACTGTCACCCTCTTCAGGGTGGGAGGAAGGAGAATGAGAATGTATATAGCACCTACTGTGTGCCAAGCACTGTACTAAGTGCTCTTTTTTTTTTTTTGAGGCAGTGGGGTTAAGTGACTTGCCCACAGTCACACAGCTAGTAAGTGTCTGAGGCCACGTTTGAACGCGGGTCCTCCAGACTCAAGAACCAGTGCTCTATCCACTAGCTACCCCCTAAGTGCTTTTTACAAGTATCTTTGATCCTCACAACAATCCTGGGAGGTAGGTGCTATTACTACTTCCATTTTATAGTTGAGGAAACTGAGGCAGACAGAAGTTAAGTGACTTTCCCAGGGTTACACAGCTAGCAAGTGGATAGATTTGGACTCAGGTCTTCCTGACTCCTGGTCCAGAGATCTATCCGCTGTGCCACCAGCTGCCTCATAAGCTTTAACCTTCCATTTTTCATCGTTTGTCATTTTTTCTCAACCTTGCCAATCTAATGTGTGTACGGAAGAGCCTCGGTTGTTTTAATTTGCATTTCTCCAGCCATAAGTCACTTGGAGCACTTCTTTCACATCTTTCAGTCCCTGTCCAATGTTACTCTTAGTCTCCTAATACCTTCTCCCTCCCTCGCCCCTAAATCCTTAAGGACGAATTTTGCGGAAAAGTAGCAAGTCAGGAACTAGCACACAGTAGGCTCTTTAATAAAAGATTGTTGATTTGGCTAAATCCTACTCCCTTTAAGGGGTTAGTTGATAGAAACTTAAGTTCTTACCCTTCTGTGTGTTTGTGTGTCAGCAGGGATTCTTGAAATCCCATTTCATTTAGGTCCCCTTGGCATTTCTTCCTGTCTGCAGAAATCTGGGTAGAGGGGTCTCCCTCCTTCTAAAGCCAAGGGCTGGCTTCATCCCCAGCACCACCGCTGGCTCCTCCATAGGGAGATCCAGGCCTGCTGTTGCCTGTGTCACTGCCTCTCTAGCCCCTCCGTTTCCCTGAGTCTGTGTCCTCAGAACAGTTGATAGATAAAGAGAGGCGAGGGTAGTCCTCCCATGACTGAGTACTGAAGCTGAGGGAAATCCCTGCAGGGGACGAGTGGCCTCACCCTGCTCTTCCTCCCCAGCGTACCCAGTCCGGTGCCTGCTGCCCAGCGCCCACGGCTCCTGTGAGGACTGGACCCCACGCTGGTACTTCGTTCCCGCTGTGGGCAAGTGCAACCGCTTCTGGTACGGGGGTTGCCACGGCAACAGGAACCACTTCCTCTCCGAAGAGGAGTGCGTGAAAAGCTGCCAAGAGGGGGCTGACGACAGTGCCCCAGGACCCCTTGCTCACGGGGCGGAGCAGGGATGGGCGTCTCCCTCCCAGAGGGAGGCAGGCACACTTGTGGGGCCCGGCCAGCCCAGGCAAGGGCCTTCCGGCTACAGCCGAGGAGGAGGCCCTGGGGGCCGCCACGAGGCCTCTCGCCACGGCCAGTCATCCAGAAATGATGGCCAGAGCAGGACGGGGGTGAGTTGGGGTCTACACCATACAGACACGTCCCAGGGAAGGCCTTCTCTTTCATCCGGCTCTTCAAGGCTAGAGCAAGGGGGACAGTACTTGAGGCAAGATGAGACTCAACTGCCCAGAACCTCTGAGAAGGAACCCTGGAAGAGTCAACATACAGGACACCAGGACCAGGAGGTCAGGCCGAGTGCATTTGGGCCAGGAGAAGACATTAGGCAACTACGCTTCCAGGTTCCTTCTCACAGGTAAAGCTGGACCCCTGTGGGGTGGGGTGGGGGGGGCGAGGCTAGGGGAAGGACCTGCACTAGGAAAATTTGTAAAGTCAGGAAGGCTTGTCTCTACTCGTGCACCAACTCCCCTTCCAGCCCCTTTTCTTTTTTTCTCCCTCCCTCCTCCCTCCTCCCTCCCATTGAGAAAGAAGGAAAAACAAATTCCCTGTCACAGATATAGTTAAACAAAACAAATTCCCACAGTGGCCATGTCCCCAAAAATATGTCCCTATCTGCACTCTTAAGTCCATCGCCTTTCTATGAGAAAATGGGTAGCAGGTTTCATCATGAGTCCTCTGGAATCCTAGTTGGTAGTTGTATTGATCAGAATTCCCGCTTTTCAAAGTTATTTGTCTTTACAATATTGTTGCCATTGTGTGAATTGTTCTCCTGGTTTTGCTCACCTCACTCTGCATCAGTTCTTATAAATCTTTCCAGGTTTCTTTAAAACCATCCCCTTCATCATTGCTTGCAGCACAATGTCATATTTTACCTCATAATCATTGCAGATTTTATACCAAATTTTTTTTTGCAAAAAAGTAGGGTGCAACTTTTATGTGAAGCTTTAAAAATTTGTGCCAGTATCATTTAAAAATCATTTATTACTAAACTGTATCATTGGCAGACAAACTGTACAGTTTAGCTAGCATGGGAAGATGCAGTCTTACCATATCATGTGACTTACTCATGGCGGCTTCACCTGCCCACCCACTCCCCTTACGCCTATGGCTCTTCATTGGGTTGAGTGACAATACCGTTAGTCCTGCAGCGCTCTAAATAAGCCACCAAATGGGCTTTTGGGAATATACTGACGATGCACGTGTGCTGAGAATTCTAGGCTGTCAGCACTCAATGCACGAGAGATAAATGTGTATCCATATGCCACTGGTGAATACATTGCTGCTCTGTTTACCGTTTAAGCAGCATGAGGAACAGAATTATACATGTGATAATTATACAATGAAAGGCTATAAACCAATTTTGGGGCTGAAAAAATAGGGTGTGATGATTTTTTGGTGATGATGATTATGCAGCGAAATATGGTAGCATTCCATCACATTTAAATACCACATCTTTTTCAGCTGTTCTCCAACTGATGGGAATTCCTTTACCTTCAAATACTTTGATTTCTCAAAAGAACTGCTATAAATATTTTTGTCTATGTAGATCTTTTTCCTGTTTCTTTAATGACTTTGGAGTATAGACTTGTAAAAACAGACTTTTTATAAAAATAGACTTTTGATAAACAAGATCATGATTTAGTAGCTTTTGGGGCGTAGTCCCAAACTGCTGTCCACAATAACTGATGGTTCATAGCTCCGCCAAAAGTGCATTAATGTACCTCTTTTCCCACAGCCTCTGCAACATTTCTCTTTTTTCTTTTTTGTCAACTTTTCCATTCTGATGGGTATGAAGTGGAGCCTCAGAGTTGTTTCAATTAGCATTTCTCTAATTATTAATAATTTAGATAATTTTTCATATCTTTAAGTCCCTTTTCAACACTACTTTTGATCTACTCTTTTTTCCAATACCTTCCTTCACCATCTCCCCTAAATTCTTGAGGATATAGCCTATACAAAGATAATATGACAGGGAACTTAGCAAAGCACTTTGTACAAAATAGGCTTTATAAGGAATGTTTATTGAAATGGCTAAGTCCTACTCTCTTTAAGGTATGAATTTAAATTCTTATCCTTCTCAGCAGAATGTAATAGGGCCAGGCTTTTGAGTCAGACAGCATAGTTACCTTATGGTAGGATTTGAGGGGATCCAAGAAGGCCTGCCTGACCTCAAATATCTCAGGTGCCTGTCATAGTGTCTGAAATTCTATCATTAAACCACTTAAAATTCTATAGATTACAAAACAGAACCCAATAATTTGTTGCCTATAAGAAACATACCTGAAGCACATGGAATCCATATAGTTTCAAAATGAATCTAACTCTAAAGTGAGTTAGGTTTAACATTGAACAGATTTAGAATATGTTATGCTCCACCTAGTTCTAAAATGCAGAAATTATAAACATAATTTTAGATCAGGCAGAAGCAAACACAAATTCCAATGAGAGGCAAGCAGAAAAAGTACAGTATAATTAAAGGCATCATAGATAATGGAACAATATCAGTGTAAAATAAAATGCACTGAATAGCATTGCAATCAATTCATAAGGGAATGACTACTAAAATGCAAAAAGATTTAGATAATAAGGCATTAATTGCACAAGAGTTTAATGTTGTTCTGTCAGAACTTGACAAATCTACCAGGAAGATAAAGAAGTCTTTTGTTTTTGTTAGGCAATGAGATTAAGTGACTTGCCCAGGGTCACACAGCTAGTAAGTGTCAAGTGTCTGAGGCCAGATTTGAACTCAGGTCCTCCTGACTCCAGGGTCGGTGTTCTATCCACTGCACCACCTAAGTGTCCCAAGATAAAGAAGTTTTGAAGAGAATGTTGGAAAACTGGATTTCATAGAAACCAATGAATGAGAATCTTAGGGACTATGTGTATTTCTCAGGTTCCCACATGACTTTAAAAAAATTAATTATGTGTGAGGGCATAAAAATCTTAATTTTTAGATGATATGCTAATTTACTTAGAAAACTCTAGAGAATAAACAAAATTAATCATACCAATAGCTTCAACAAAATAGCATGATGTCAAAGAAAACCACAAAATATTCAGAATTTCTATTTGTTCCTAATAAGGACCACAAGAAGAGATGAAAAGATAAGTACTATTTAAAATAACAATAAAATGTAGGTACATAGAAGATTTATATAAATAGTACAAAATAATTTTCATGGAAATAAAGACCTACATAATTGAAGAGATATTTGTTACTCAAGGTTTCTGTATGCCAACAATGTAAAAATGATGCTATTATACAAATAGCCCATAGACTTAAAGCTATGCCAAGCAAACTACTAAGGGGATACTTTATAGAATTAGAAAAGATGATGACAGAATTCATATGGAGAAACAAAATATCAACAATATCAAAGGAGATATTCAAAAAATGGCAGGAAAGATGACAGCTGGGAAATAACTGATTTGAAATTATTTGATAAAGTAGTAATTATGAAAATTTTTTATTTTGGGGTAAAAAAATTTTTAAAGTTGATCAAATCAGATTAGATAAGCAAGACTTAAGTAAGTACTCTAGTCCTTGATAAACCCAGGTATACAAAGTACTAGGAAAGGAACTCTATTCAACAAAACTGTAGAAAGAGTGGAAAGCACTTTTGATAGAAAATAGGTTTAGACTAGCAGCTTGTAGTGTACATAAAAATAAGCTGTAAGTAGATATAATGACATAAAGGAAAAGATCATATCATAAAAAAAATCAGAGGAGAATCACAGCTATGGAAAAAGGGAAAATCCTTAACCAGCTAAGGGATTAAAGATATTATAAAATGGTACACTTGATCATTCAACCAAGACTGGGTCAGCATTTAATTGTGCTAAGCACCAAGAGAGATATAGACATGAGTAAGGAACATTCCCTGCCCTCAAGAAGTTTATGGACTAGTAAAGGAGATAATACATGTACACAGATAATCATAATGTATCTTCCTGCCATTTTCCAGGATTGTCTTGGACAAGACAGAATATTCTGGGGTTCAGGTCACTCTGGGGCAGATGGTTCGGTTCTTCTGTATGGCAGGTGCCAGCCCTGATGTGAAATGGCAGAAAAACGGGAAGCCCATCAGATCATCAGATAGGTAAAGAAACTCTTCCTTCCCACAATGCAAATGACCCTCTACAATTCAAGATGCTCCCTTCCAAAGGTAAGATTTGGAGGTTTGGACAGGCAAGGAGGGATAGACTGAGGCAGGTCTATCCACAGGTCTAACCAGATGGGGCATACGAATTTAGGGATATTATTAAGGAAATTATTTGTAAATGTTTAATCATAACATAAATATTATTATTTATATGGTCCTTTATGTGTTATTATTTATATAGTTTGTTGGTCATAAAGAATGTTACATCCATTATTCCACCTAATCCTCACAACAACTTTATGAGAAAAGCAGATAAGGTATTATTTTTCCCCTTGAGTAAACTGAATCTCAGAGAGGTTAGGTGTTTTGCCAAAGGTCATATAGCTAGTACAATTATCTCTTCCACATCACAGGAGTGCAGCACCTCCACAATCTGGAAAACCTACATAAAATTTTTTGGTTCTCCTTTTGTACCAGAGAAGTCTGAATTATTATGGCATTAAAAGATAAAATATATTGATATTAAACAACACTATACATGCATTTTTTTTACATTTCTGAGTTTTTTTTCTGGGTCATCTGGTGGTCTTTGCGCGTCATCTGTAGCCTCTGCAAAACTCCCCCCTAATTCCCATTTAATTTCTTATGCTGACACGCGATATGTCAAAACTGCAATGGGGAAAGCTGCAAGGTGGAAGAAGTGACTGTAATTGAGAAAACCGGGACTTGAACCCAGAGTCTTTCGATTCCAAGAGCAGGGTTCTTTCCTCTACCACACTTTGGTGGGGACTCTGGATTGGGCATGGTAGGGCACAGGCCAGGACATAGTGGGGCATGGATTGGGAGACCTAGAAGTGTTAGGGATGTTCCTTGATATACGGTCTCCCTCAGGTACCGTCAGCAGCCAGATGGCTCCTTGCTCATCAATTCAGTGAGTGAAGATGACGCTGGCACCTACACCTGCAGTAGTTCTACTGGAGGCCAGGAGAGCAGTCGCCACGTTCAACTCTGGATCACAGGTCACTTGGTCACGCCCCCTCCAGTGGGATTTTTAATAGATTTGCTCTGTTCTACACAACCTCTCCCTGGGATGGGAAGGGTTAGGCTTAGGGGGTGGGATCAGGCTTAGGACTGCCTTGATTGAGTGCCCTCCACCCTATGCCTTTTCTGCTAGCAGTGGTGTCCCCTGTAGGAACATCCTCTGGAAAGGGAGTCTTAACATTTTTATTTCCAGAGCTACAGTGCCTTGGTATTCATGAACCCACGGCAGGACCCCATTATCAAGCTCCATTTACCACTTACATACTCCTGCCTCAGCTTTTCCTGGAGGATTAGTTGTAAAGTTCTCTGCCCTTGTCTGCCTCAGCACTTTCCTCTGCTTCATAATAGGGGACGATAGGGAAGCGCCTGCAGAGGCTGAGAGGAATCTCCCTCGGATCCAGGACCACCGACACCTAGATTTTGGCATGGAAGGAGGTGGGCAGGGTCAGAGGCTCAGCTCCCACAGGCCCCATCAGCCAGGGTCCAGGTAACGCTGCTTTCATCCCAGACCAGCTCTCTTTATTTTCATTTCATGCCATGTGCCACCTCTTCCATGGTTCATTACTTTGCTTATGATGTCACCTTTTATGTACACATCATGAACTCATTTTGAGCTCATCTTGTTACATGGTGTGAGACGTTGGTCTTTACCTAGTTTCTGCTAGTTTTCTCAATGATTTTTGTTCAGTAGCCCCAGTTTTTGTTGTCTTTTTCCCATTGGAATCTGTAGATTTATCAAACATTAGGTTACTGCGCTTATTTGTTTTTCCATATTTTGTGGCTAATCGCTCATTTTCTTACCTAGTACCAAGTTGTTTTGACAATTACAGCTTTGTAGTATATTTTGAGATCAGGTACTGCTAGGTGTCCTTCCCATTTTTTTTTTCCCATTGATTCCTCTGATATTCTTGATCTTTTGTTAATCCAGATTAATTTTGTTGTAATTCTTTGGTAGTTTGATTGGCATAGCACTCAATAAATAAATTTATGTATTGTCATTTTTGTTATATTGGCTTGGCTTACCCACGAGCACCTAATATTTCTCCAGTTATTTAGATACGTTTTTGTTTGTGTAAGGAGTGTTTTGAAACACTGTTCATATAGTTTCTGTGTGTCATAGCAGGTAGACTCCCAAGTATTTTACACCATCTGTAATAGTTTAATTGGAATTTCTCTATCTCTGCCTGCTAGGTTTTGTTGGTTGTACACAGAAATGCTGGTGATTTGTGTGGGTTTATTTTGCATCCTGTAACTTCGCTGAAGTTAATTGTTTCCATTAGTTTTTTAGTTGATTATCTAGGGTTCTCTAAGTATACCATAATATCCTCTACAAAATGTGATATTTTTATTTCCTCTTTGTCTATGTTTATTCTTTTAATTTCTTTTTCTTGTCATTGCTTCAGCTAACATTTCTAGTACAATATTGAAAGGTGACAATGGACATCCTTATTTCACTCTGATCTTATTGGAATAGCTGTTAACTTGTCTCTGTAATGCTTGCTCTCGGTTTTAGATAAATATTACTTATCATTTTAAGGGAAAATGTTTATTCTTATGCTTTTTGGTGTTTTAAAAAACAGGAATGGATGTTGTATTTTGCCAAGTTTTTGCTGCATTTATTGAAATAATCATATGACTTTTTGTTGGTTTTGTTATTGATGTGGTTAATTATGCTTATAGTTTTTCTAATATTGAACTAGCCCTGCATTCCTGGTATAAATCTCATCTTGTCATTACATATAATCTTTGTGATACATTGCTATGATCTCTTAGCTAGCATTTTATTTACATTTTTTTCATCAAAATTCATTAGGGAACTTGGTTTATGGTTTTCTTTCTCTGTTTTGACTCTCTCTAGTTTAGATAGCACGACCAATGTGGGCAATTTATATTCTTGTAAATATTCATTTCATTTAGATTGTCAGTTTTATCAGCAGATAGTTGGGCAAAATAAATCCTAATAATTACTTTTATTTCTTTATTAGTTGTGAATTTGACTTTTTCATATTTTATGTTGGTAATTTGATTTTCTTTTTTTTCTTACTCAAATGGTTTGTCTATTTTGTCAATTCCCCCCCCAAAAACTAGATCTTTTATTAATTCAATTTTTTAAACTTTCAATTTTGTTAATATATATTTTTTTATTTTCAGGATTTTTATTTTGGTATTTAATTGGAGGTTTTGAATTTGTTGGGTTTTTTTTTTTCAGTTGCATACCAAATTCATTCATCTGCTCCTCCTCCCTTTTATTAATGAGAGTTTAGAGATATAAAATTTCCCCTGAGAACTGCTTTGGCTTCATCCCATAAACTTTGGAATGTTGTTCCATAGTTGTCATTATCATCAATGAAATTATTTTTATAATTTGTTCTTTGACCCACCCATTCTTTAGTATTAAGCTACTTAGCTTCCAATTTTTACTTCAAAGGGCTTTTATTAAATGTAATTTCTATTGCATTCTGGTTAAAAACAGATGCATTTAATACTTTGGCTTTTCTGCATTTACTTGTAAGGTTTTTATGTGCTAATACATGATCGATTTTTGTGAAGGTGTCATGCACAACTGAGAAATAGGTAGATGCCTTTCTATTCCCATTCAATATTCTCTAGAGGTCTATCATATCTAACTTCTCTAAAATCCTGTCGAGGTCCTTAACTTCTTTCTTGTTTATTTTTTTGGTTCAATTTGTCTTTGTTAGCGGTGAATTGAGATTCCTCACTATTATAGTTTTACTGTCTATTTCTTCTTGTAACTCATTTAATTTTTCCTTTAAGAATTTAGAAGTTATGCCATTTGATGCATACATGTTTACTATTGATATTAATTCATTGTCTATGATATCTTTTTAGAAAAATGTAGTTTCTCTGTTTATTTCTTAATTAGGTCTCTTTTTGCTTTTGCATTTTCTAAGATTATGATTACTACCCACCTTTTTTAACTTCACTGAAGCATGAAAAATTCTGCACAGTCCTATTTGAACTCTATGTATATCTTTTGCTTCAAGTATATTTTTTGTAAACAATATATTGTTTGATTCTGGTTTCTAATCCATCCATCAATCCTCTTCTTTTATGGGTGTTTATCCCATTCACGTTGTTTTGATTGCTATGTATTTCTCTCTGTCCTATTCTCTTATACTCGTTCTTCTCTCCCCCTTGTCATTTTTTTTTTACTTTTTTTATTAATTTATTTTGATTTATCAATAATCACTTCCATATGCCCGTGTCTTTTTTTTAAAGAATTCTGCTTCTGACTAATGCCTCATATAATCAACCTTCCCTTTTATTTCCCTCTTTTTCCTTTCCTTCCTTTTTGACTGTTGTGTAAGATGTGTTTTTGTGTCCAGATGTGTGTCTTTTCCCTCCTATAACCAGTCCAGATGAGACTGAGGTTCAAGAGTCATCCATTTTCTCCACTCCTTCCTGCTCCCTTCTTGTTAGTTGATTTATGTGAAATACATTCCTCTTCCCCATCCATTTCATTCTTGGTTTGACATCATCCATATACAACAGAATCATGCCCAGACCCTCTAATTTAACTCTTTCTATGATCTCAGTGATCAGGGGCTAATGTATCATCTCCCCATGTAAGAATGTAAACAGTTTAACCTTGTTTAGTCCTTTATAATTTCTCATTCATGTTTACTTTTTTATGCTTCTTTCAACTCATGTGTTCATATATCGTATTTTCTGTTCAGCTCTAGTCCATTCCTCAGGAATGATTATTAAGTGTTCTACTTTGCTGAATTTCTGTTTTTTCCCCCTGTAGTATTATACTCAGTTTGTTATTCTTGGTTGTAAGCCTAGATCCTTTGCCTTCTGAATATCATATTCCAAGTTCTCTATTTTATATTTGTGCCTGCTAAATCTTGTGTGATCCTAATTGTGGCTCCTCAGTACTCGAATTCTTTCTGGCTGCTTGTAGTGTTTTTTCCTTGACCTGGGAGCTCTGGATTTCATTTTGGGGTTACTCTCAAGAGGTGATCAGTGGTTTCTTTCAATTTTCACTTTGTCCTCTGGTTCTAAGACATCTGGACAGCTTTCTTTTATGATTTACTGAAAACATGATGTCTGGGCTCTTTTTTTTTGCTCTTTTTCTTTTCTTCTTCTTTTTTTTTTAGGCAATTGTCCAGGGTCACACAGCTAGTGTCAACTATTTGGTCTGAGGCCAGATGTGAACTCAGGTCCTTCTGATTTCAGGGCTGGTGCTCTAGCCACTATGCCACGTAGATGCCCCGCTTTTTTTTTTTGTTGCTGTTCATGGCTTTCAGGTAGTCCAGTGATTCTTAAATTATCTCTCCTCAATCTGTTTTCCAAGTCAGTTGTTTTTCCTATAAGGCATTTCACATTTTCTTCTTGAACTCTTACTTGAATTCTTCTGGAATTCTTGTTAGACTTCTGTCTAAGCTGTATCTGTCTTTGAGGATTTGCTTATAGATTTTTCTGAATTATTCTCTTCTTCTGTGTTTGTGTCTTGAGTGTCCTTGTCACCTTAACAGTTATCTTTATGACTAGGTGTTGTTTTTTTTTTTGGTGGTGGTTGTTTGCTCATTTTTCCAGTCTACTCCTTGACTTCACATTTGATATTAGGGCTGGGCTCTGTATACTTCTGGAGGGAGAGAAGGGAAATGTCCAGCCTGAGCTTCTATCATTCTATTACTTTCACAGATTCAGCGGGGAGCCTGCAAGCTTTTAGTGCTCCCAAAGTATGTGATCCAGGGGAAAGGTATGTTCTCTGACCTCCTGGTCTGAGTTCTGCAAGTTTGTGACCCAGGTTTGGGTCCAATGGCTTGTTTCTGCTTGGGAATTTTAGCAAACTACTGCTAGACTCAGCCACTACTGGCCTGCTGGCAGGCTCCAGGTTCAGAGCAGGGACACTGCACTCAGCTCCTGGCTGAGCCACCATCTGCTTCCCAGTCACAGTGAGGACCAATGTTTACTACCACTCTTCTCTGCTCCAGATCTGTGACTTGGTACTGTGTGAGGAGTGACAGAGTTCCCAGATGGCACCCATTCCTGTATCCAGTGCTTGCTCAGAGATCCATCCCCTTGGATCTCTTTCTCATGCCCTGCCATAGCTCTCTTTCAGTCTCTGGGCACTGGAACTTTCCTTCTCCCCTTCACCACCATTACCACCATGAATTCATGGCCAGACTCCCTTCCAGAGTCTGCAGACCTATCTATCTCCCTAAGCTGCCCTGGGCTGGAAAAATTACTCACTGTGACTTCTTCTTGGCTTTCCCAATCAGAATTCAGTCTAGCACTTTCTCTAGATTTTTATCAAGGCGTGTGGGAAGTTAGACTATTTCTCTTTCTCCGCCATCTTTATGTTTATATAGTTTTGAAAAAGATTTGTGTAGGTTTGCAGAATGCTTTTGATTTGATCCTCACAACAACCCTGGGAGGAAGATGCTATTATTAAACTCATTTTACAGAGGAGGAAACTGAGATTGAGAGGTTAAGTGATTTGCCTGGGATCAAACAGTGTATGTTAGAAGCAGGATTCAGATTCAGGTCTTCCTGATCCCAAGGCAAGCACTCTATCCATTATCTCGCCTACTCACTCCCTACCTCCACCCCAAACTACTGACTTTATATAACTTGAAGAGAAATTTATTTCAACTTTCATTAACCAAAGGAAGTAGTTTTATTACTTCATGTAAATTTCCATAGTCTAGAATTGAGATTTATCATAATTTGTTTCTAAAAATGTTTGGCAATATTGTATTTTTTTTTAAACTGAAAGAAAAATAACTCTTGTATTCTAGTTTCATAAAATGTTTTAAAATGACAAAATAATGGATTAGAGAGGGGAAACACTATTTAGGTCCAGAGGTGATGAAACCATGAACTAGGGTGGTACCTGGGGCAGTGGAAAAGAGGGAGCAGATAAAGAGAACATTTTTAAAGGAGGTGGCTGTGTTTTACAGGTTGAGCTTTGACAGGAATCAGCCAGGAGTGGTGGATGTCAGTGTGGGTCAGCGAGTCCAACTGCCCTGTCGAACATTTGGCTACCCTCCCCCAATCATTGAGTGGCAGAAGGATGGACAGCCTCTCCCTTCTCCCAGGTGGGTCTAGGTAACTTTTTTCCTTTCATTTCCAGCTCTGCCTCTAAGTAGAGGGTTATGGCAGTCAAAAGTGGCACCTTCGCCTGTTTCCTAATGGGCCTGGCCATCCCAGAAAAGTTTCTGCCATCACTGTAATTTCTAATGCTCTGCAAGGGAACTTTGTCAACTGTCACCCACCCCATTAGCTCTCAGGACTGGACATAGAATAGCTGAAGAAAGCCTTACCACACCTACTCCAATGACAATGATTACTAAACTAACATGTACATAGTGCATACTACATGCCATACACTGTGCTAAACACTTTATGTTATTATCTCATTTGATCCTCACAACCACCCTGGGAGGTAGGTGCTATTATCATCCCCATTTTACACATGAGAAAACTGAGGCAAACAGTTTAAGTGACTTGCCCAGGGTCATACAGCTAGTAAGTGTTTGTGGCTGGATATGAACTCAGGTCTTCTTGATTCCAAGTCCATGCTTTATCCACCGTATCACCTAACTACTGGGTACTAGTCAGAAACAGCCATTGAGATAACTTTCTGAAAGTATTATCAAACTGACTTTTGATACCACCAGGGTCTCCCTGTGCCAAATTATCAAGACACTAGAGATTTAAAAGGATATAATAAGGATGGAGGGAGACATAGAGAACATTTCTGACTAGAAAGTCACTCATTTGAGCAAAGCAAAAAGCTAGAAATCATTTGAAAATTCATTTATAGACCAAACAACAATCACAAAATGTAAAAAATGTCACATGAAATTTTCATTTTTGAACAAAAAGCTAGAAAATTTCATGTATATTAAATGATAGCCCAGGAGGGCATGGGGAGGGAAGAATCTGCCATATTGTGGGTAGTCACTAGTGGGTCTTTGACCAAAAGAAGTTTGGAGGTTCCTTCTCAGTATGACTATTACCTGGCCCACTTGCATTAAATAGCTTTGCCCTGCCCTCATCCTGTACCTTCTGCCCCTCAGGGCCTAAGGGGCATATGACTATGCTTGCTCTACAGACACCAACAGCAGCCAGATGGCTCCCTGGTCATCAGTCGTGCTGCTATGGAGGATGGTGGCTTCTACACCTGCATTGCTTTCAATGGACGAGAAAGAGACCAGCGCTGGGTCCAGCTCAGAATTCTGGGTACAGGCAGAGTGGGATTAGGATGCAGCCCAAACCAGAAGGCAAAACAATGGATACTGAGTGGTCTGGGGGTAGGAGTGGGTGAGAGCCGCCCATTTACCCTAGAGAACAAGCCCACCCAGTTAATTTAGGAGAGAGTAGCAGCTCTGTTGATCATGTTTTCGTGTGGGCTTGGATGTCAGATAGAATGTGCTGAGGGACCTGGAGGAATGTGGGCTGGAGTGGGCATTCTACATCTTGTATGATGAAATCCCGTTTGTCCGCAGGAGAGTTGAAGATTATAGGACTACAACCCTTGGTTACAGTGCCTGAGGGAGAAGACGCCCAGCTCCATTGTGTGGTGATAGGAGACAATGTGAATGTGAGATGGTCCAGGTACACATCCCTTTAAGCCCTCAGTTCCTACTCATCACCTCCTTTCACCCTTGAGATTTGTCAAAGGCCTAGACTAGACTGTAGCATGGGTAGGGGCTTCTTTATTTCCCCCTTTTCCCTCCAAAATGGGCAGAAGAATTTCCTTTACCTTTCCTTGCATCCAAATCACACTTTTCCAGATGCTGTCTCATAACCTGCCTAGCATAGGTAATAATTATAACTATTGTTGTTCAGTCATTTCAGTCATGTCCAACTCTTCATGACCCCTTTTGAGGTTTTCTTGGCCAAGATACTGGAGTGTTTTGCCATTTCCTACTCCAGGTAATTGTAATAACTCATAAATGTAGCACTTCGATGTTTTCAAAGTGCTATCCTCACAAAAGCTTTGTGAGGCAGATAATACGAATACTTTTACTATTGCCATTGTACCAATGAAGCAGCTGAGGATTTTAGAGGTCATGACTTGTCCAGGGTCACAATGTCATTTGTTGTTCAGTTGTTTCAGTTATCTCTGATTCTTAGTGATCTCATTTAGGGTTTTCTTGGCAAAGATACTGGAGTGGTTTGCCATTTCCTTCTCTAGTTCATTTTACAGATGAGGAAACTGAGGCAAACAGGGTTAAGTGACTTGCCCAGGGTCACACAGGTAGTTTGAAGCTGGATTTGAACTCAGGAAGGTAAGTCTATCTATGCTCTATCCACTGCTACCTAGCTGCCCCTATGTCACAGCAAGGATTAAAACCCATATAAATACTTTAAGTCTAATTCTATTTCCAATAGAACATGCTATGCTGCCACCGGTACACTTAGTGAAGGGAAAGACATTATCATTCCACTGCTGGTCCTGCCAAGCTGTTCTCATTCTACACTTCTAGGCCATCACCTCTTTGCCAAGAGGCAGGAGGCACACTTCATTACCTGTGTTCTGAAGCAAGTGACTGGCCACTTCACTGATTAGAGTTCTTGAATCTAAAGTTTTCCTTTACATTATTGTGGCATCAATTAAATTGTTAGTCTGATCCTGCTTACTTTACATTGCATCAGTTCATACAAGCCTTCCAAGGTTTCTCTGAATCCATCACACTCATAATTTCTTCTATTATTCCTATATCACAATTTATTCAGGAATCCCCAACTGATGAGCACTCACATTGCTTCTAGTTCTTTGCTACAACATAAAGGGCTGATATGAGTATTTTTGAATGTATGGGTTTTTTCCCTTGATCTCTGATCTTTTTTGAGTTTATGCTTAGTAGTGACCTCGCTGGGTAAGGTAACTATACAGCTGATGGTACTTACAGCCATTTTTTTGTTTCTTTTGTTTCATGGGTTTCCCTAGCCAAAGAATTCATCACCAAATGGCTATCCTACTTGTAAGCACCCTTTAGTAACTTTTTTGGGTGGTTTCAGAGTACTTTCTAGAATGGTTAGATCCTTTCACAACTCTACCAACATTCTTATTCTACTACTACTGCTACTGCTACTAGTACTACTACTACTACTGCTATTGCTACTACTACTGCTACTATTGCTGCTGCTTCTACTACTACTACTACTACATGCTAACAGCTATCATTTTAAGGTTTGCAAACCACTTCATAGTATTATCTCATTTTACCCTCACACTCCTGGGAGGTAGGTGTTGTTATCCCCACTCTATAGATGAAGAACAGCAAGTAAGTGTCTGAGGCTGGCAAGGCAGATCTTCCCAAGTCCAGACCTGGTGTTCTATCTATTCACTGCATCACCTGTCACTGCCCCTCCAACAAATGCATTTTCCTCTTTTGCCATCTTTGCCAATCTGCCTGGTGTGAGGTGGAACTTTGGAGTTGTTTTGATTTGTGTTTTCCTCATTGTTAGTGATTTGGAGTATTTTTATATGATTATTCATAGCTTGCATTCTTAATTTGAAATTTTTTTGTTCATAACCTTTGGCAACTTTTATATACGTACACATACATATATATTATATACATTCCCTTTACCATGGACATCAACCCTTTACCAGAGAAATATGCTACAAAGATTTTCCCAGCTGTCTCCCTTAGCATTTTTTTCATTTAAATCTTTTGCTTTTTTCTCACCAAAATTTCCCCATCATATCTCTCCCTCCCCTTCTCAGACAGAAATCTCTTCCCATACCAAAAAAGAAAAAAAGAAAGAAAAAAGGAAGAGGAAAAGAAAAAAAAGAAAAAGAAAACCAAAGCTGATCAATACAAAGAAAAAGGCTGATAATATAATTGTGCACAATTATCACTCTCATGGACCTCTGACCTCTGCAAAGGAGTGGAGTGACAGCGGCTTCTTTTGAGCCATGCTTGTTCTTTTAATTTTGCAACATTCACTTTTGATTGTTTTTGGTTGTTCTTTCTACTTACATTGTTTGTAGTCTTTTTTTTTTTTTGCTTACTTCAGTCTGCATCAGTTCATGTAGATCTTTCCATGATTCTCTATATTCATCACAAACACAATTCCTTATAGCTCTGTAAAATTCCATTATATTCATGTACCACAATTTGTTTAGCCATTCCTCAATCTATGGACATCTATTTTGTTTCCAGTTCTTTACTATCACAAAAAAGAGTTGCTGTAAATGGGGACTTTTCTTTAATGGCCTCCTTGGGGTATAAGCACAGTAATAAAATCTCTGGATCAAAGAGTATGTACATTTTAGGCACTTCATTTGCATAATTCCAAATTTCCTTTTTTTTAACCTTCTAATTGGACTGATTTTGCTTGCACATGTTTTTCTTGAAAAATAAGTATTTATAATATATAGAAACAAGGCTATTATATAATCTACAAGTTTCTGACCTCTTTCAGTCTTTTCTCATCACCCATGTTTTCAGTTTATCCTCACCTATTTTCACCTGAGTATCAAAATATATACTGATTAAATTTTGATGGTCTTACCAAGTTTTTCATCTGCCTCTTTTGCAATAGATGCTGGTACAGAAGGTGCAGTTATTTTAATACTGATGCTTTTGCAAATATTTGTCACAACCCTAAATATTTATCAACATCCCATGAAATGTTTCTTGCTGCCTTTGAGTGTGTAATAAAACCACCACTGCCAATTTCTTTATTTGTCTCTCTGAGGACAACCTATGAGCCATCCTCTCATTCCAGTTGCAAGGTCCTTCTTTCTTCTAGTTTTATTTATGATGACAACGTCAAGATTAATACCATGCAGTTTCTAACGCTATGTCTACTCATAGGTTACTGCATAAGGATTAAAGTTTATAAATGGTCTGAAAACTATGGGATCCATAACACCTTTCTTCCCCTCCTTCTACCATGCTGACTCCTTTTTTTTGCCATTCTGTCAGTCACTGCCCTGAACCAGCAGGCATTTTTAATTTTTCTGTTTCATGAGTCACCTCAGCTAAGTAATTTGTTCTTGTTATTATTAATAATGGTTAGCATTTATATAATGCCTATACTGTGCTGAGTACTTTATAGATACTATCTCATTTTATTCTTACAGCTTTGGAAAGTAGGTACTGTTATTATCCTCATTTTACAGTTGAGGATACTAAAGCAAACAGAGGTTAAGTGACACGCCGAAAGTCATACAGGGAATGTCTGAACCGGATTTGAACTCAGGTCTAGCTACTGAGCCTGCTAGTCTCATTTTCAGAACTCTGAACCTCAGGTTGCCTCCATGTCACAATAAGGGACTTAAAGTAAGACTCTGTGGAAGAAGATGAGATGGACAGAAATAACTTCTGGCAGACTGATTAAGAGCAAACATCACTTTCAGCAAGGGAAGCGTGGAAAGACAAGGAATCAGGGACTTGAAATGACTGATTGTGGTAGCAGAGACAGAGAAAGGGTCCATTCTAGGCATGCAAAAGCATGAGAGAGACCAAGTTGTCCTGTCTGGCTGGAGCACAGTGTGTGTGAAGGGGAGCACAGTGAAATAAAGCTGGAAAAGTAAGACAGCAGTCAGATTGGGGAGGGTCTTAAGAGATAGGATAAGGGGTTTAGACTTTATTTGGAGGTGAACAGCATTCCACTGAAAAGGGAAGTGTGACATGATCAGAGATGTACACTAGAAAACATTTTGGCAGTGTGGGAATTGCAAGTTGGAGAGGGGATGAGAGTGGAGACCAGTTAGAAGGCTATTACAGTAGTCCAGGTAAGAGATGATCC